CCTCATTCTGGAAGAAGTTTGAAGGCTTCCTGAAAATTTCTGTGAACTCCAGGAGGCTGACCATTTCAGGTTCCCTCTCAGCTGCAAGTCTCTTGCTCTTCAACATTGCTGAGATCAGTTGCATCCCACATTTCATGGTGACTCTTTGTCTTCTTCCCCCACCAACCAGATACAGGTCTTTTCTTTGTTTTCCCCAGAATCAATCCCAGCAAGACAAAGGATTTTAGTGTTAGTCATTAGCTATCCCTGCTCACTACGAGTTTTAAGAACTAAAACATTAGCAGCAACCTGCATCTACCTCTGTGTTCCCACCATATTCCATGCTTCTTCAGCTGCCTGGTTGCTGGAAATGGCCCTTGGATTTCTTCCCTCCCCAGGCTTGGGTCTTCGCTAGGAGCCTTGGTCCCCCTGTCCCTGCAGGTGAAAGTAGACAGAACCGACCGGGCTTAAATTTTTTTTTTTAATTTTTGATCATTTTTTCATTGTTTTTCAATTACAGTTGACAGAGGGCCCAGGGTGTATGTGGGGGAGGAGGTTTGGCCTGTGGGGTCTCTTCTCATCTGTGATTCTCATGGTGCCCAGGCCCCTTGAGGAGTGAGGCAGTGAGATGGCGGACGGCTGCACAGAGCAGGAGAAGGCGGTTGCGGTTCTGGTGGAAAACTTCTACAAATATGTGTCTAAGTACAGCCTGGGCAAGAGCAAGATCAGCAAGAGCAGCTTCCAAAAGATGCTTCAGCAAGAGCTCAACCACATGCTGATGGACACGGGGAATCGAAAGGCTGCTGACAAGCTCATCCGGGACTTGGACGCCAACCACGATGGATGCATCAGCTTTGATGAGTACTGGACCTTGATAGGAGGCATCACCAGCCCCATCGCCAGCCTCATCCATGAGCAGGAGCAGCAGAGCAGCAGCTAAAGTACTCCCACCGTCCCCTCATGGCACTGCCCCAATGCCCGGCCCCTCATGCTCTTCTCAGCCTCCTGCCCACCCAGGCTCTGCCCTCACTTCTCCCTCCAGACTTTCTGTTCCTCATTGCTGAACAGGGGGAGGGGGTGATATCAGGGCCTCTTTATGAGCATCTCACTCTGGGGGGTGCCTACCTCAGGGTTTCAGTCCCTGGAGCCAGCAGGCCCTGGGCGCCCAGGCCCTCAGTACTGTTTGGGGAACCCAAGAGTTTCCTAAGCCCATCTACCCTTCCAACATCTCCCCCACATACACCCTGGGCCCTCTGTCAACTGTAACTGAAAAACAATGAAAAATGGCCAAAAATTAAAAAAAAATGTAAGCGTGGTCGGTTCTATCTACTTCCACCTGCAGGGACAGGGCGACCAAGGCTCCTAGCAAAGACCCAAGCCTGGGGAGGGAAGAAATCCAAGGGCCATTTCCAGCAACCAGGCAGCTGAAGAAGCATGGAATATGGTGGGAACACAGAGGTAGATGCAGATTGCTGCTAATGTTTTAGTTCTTAACACTCGTAGCAAACAGGGATAGCTAATGATTAACACTAAAATCCTTAGTCTTGCTGGGATTGATTCTGGGGAAAACAAAGAAAAGATGTTCCTGCCTAATTCTGAGAGTCTCTTGACCTCTGGAGGTCAGCTCACTGCTCTAGGTCTTCCTGCTCCTGGCATAAGCAGCAGAGAAATCTCCCCTTCCCCTCAGCCCCTCGGCTGGAAAAAGACTTTCAGGGACTGCCCTCCAGCTGCCTCTGGGTCTGGGAAGAGATAAGCAGGGTTGAGCCCTCTCCCTCCTCCTCAGCCCCTGAAGCATGGCAATAAAGGCTGGATTTGAAATTTGTGTCCTTATAAACCATTATGTGAACTCTGTATCTGGTTGTTTGCTTGTCTCATTTAATTTAGTTTGTTTTCTGGAGATTTCTCCTGTTCTTTCATTTGGGACCTGTTTTGTTTTTTTTGTCTCCATATTTTGGCTGCTTCTTTATGTTTGTTTCTATGTATTAGGTAGAGCTGCTATATCTCCTAGACTTGGTAGAGTGGCCTTGTGTAGTAGGTGTCCTGTAGGGCCCAGGGGTGCAACCTCCCCCATCATGCAAGCTGGGTGCTCCAAGTATGACCTGTGTAGGAACCTTGATTGCTGTTGGCGTCACTGGGAGGGATTGACTCCCAGGCTGATCAGTTGGGAGGACCAACTGCAACTACTGTGGAGGAGCCACTGTGCAGGAGTCCACCCTACAGAGCAGGACTTGCTTTAGTGGAGCTTTGGTGCTCACTGAGTCTGCCCCTTGAGTGGGTCGCTTGTGGGGGTCGTAGGGTTGTAATCTGGGTGCACTGACTATGGGGCCTCCAGGGAGGTGCAAGGTTAGCCACCACCTGTGTCATGCCCGGGGGCACCTGGCATGAATTACAAAATGGTGTGCAGATGGCTGCTACTTGCAGTGGGCTTTAAGGTGCCTAGGTGAGGCCAAGCTGAGAACCAAGGCCGCTGCCATGAGTGCCGGGCCTGGGGTCACTTAATAAGAGGTACGAGGTACTACACAGAGGCCAAATGCTGCTTGTTTGAGAGACTTTAGGAAAGTCTAAAGCATGAGGCAAAACAGGCCATTTATATGTAAAAGCCACTGGAAATAGGTTGGGTGGGCCTGAAATTTGGATGGGGAGGGGTCTCAGGGAATCACAGGGTGGGAACTGTGTGAGCCAGGTTGATGGAGACTCACATATGGCACCTGCTTGCTGGCTCTGTGGAAGGGTTTTCAGTAAAAGAATGATGGCCTCTGCCAACACTTTCGTCTGGCAGAAAGCTGCCCCTCCAACTCTCACCCTGACACTAGACAATTCAGTTCCTCTTCATAGGTCCCTAGTTCCTTTCAAGCTGCTGTCCCAGCACTTGAGCTCAGAGGGAGTGAGTCCATGCATGGGCCCTTTAAGAGGAACTGCTTGGGCCTCCAGCAGCTCTCCATCTCACTTAGTCACAATCCCCCCTGGTTTTTACAGCTACAAGTTGTGGGGACTTCTCTTCTGGCTCTGGAACCCTGGGCTGGGGCCTCTGCAACTGAGAACTCCCTCCTGGTTTTTATCCACCACGCCAGCCTTTTCCATGTCTCCACCCCTCCTACAAGTCTCCATGTGGCTTCTTCTTTAATTCCGTAGCTGTAGGACTTCCATTCAGCCATGTTTTAGGTAGTTCTGAATGATGATTGTTCTGTAGTTTAGTTGTAATTTTGATGTGGTTGTGGGAGGATTCGAGTACCACATTTACCTATGCCACCATCTTGACCGGAAGTCCTTAAATGTTTAGATTGAGGTGTAATTGACATATAACATTATATCAGGTATACAATGTAATGATTCAGGTATACAATGTAACGATTTGAAATTTGTATATATTGCGAAATGATAGTTTGGTTAACATCTGTCACTATTCATAGTTACAATTTTTTTTTCTTGTGATGAGGACTTTTAGAATTGAGTCTCTTAGCAACTTTCAAATATACTACACAGCGTTATTAACTACTAGGG